CTCTGCAGAATATTTCTGCTACTTCAGCATGAACTGGCATGTCTACATGGCATGATGAGATACCACACATATTTTGTTTCAGATTCTGTTAGTGTAATAGCTGCATTTTTTATGAAACTATGGTCAATGCTATGTTACTATGTGGATTTGGAAATGTATTTATTGCACTGCAGACATAGCTCGAATCGCTGTGTTATGCAGTGTACGTGTATCTTCCAAGACTGGCAGTACACACAGTCATAGTCTTCAACTTTCTGTTAGAAAACAGGTTTGGAAAATTGCAGCTGCGGAAATTAAATGTTCAAATGACACAACAGTGTTTTGTTCCACTGCTTTATGGTGGTTATAGCTTCTTTAATTGATATAAAGATTTTTACAAGTAGAAAAATGGTGAGTAGCTTTTTTTCCCCTTTAATATTTTCTAGGATGAAACTAGAGCCGAAGTTCCCCCTGGAGCACCACAGGAAAGATCTGCAGTTATTGTTGAAATAGACAATATGGAGCTAAATGAACTCAGAAAAAGGTGAGGACTGAGAGTGTGTATTAGCAATATTGGTTTCCTGAAAGCTGCGTTGTAAGTGCAAAAGTAATGCTTTTCTCTCTCTGAAGTATTTTTAGGGGAAAGAGAAAGGTGTGGATTTACAGTGGATTAGAGGAATCGGTCTCATTCTTGAATTATTATTTGGTAGTATTTGTGGGTTAGTTTTGTAAAGATATGTACTTATTGGTGACTTTATTTAAATATCTAATCTGAAGTGTCTCATTCTAATTAAGTCTTTACCACAAACAGAACATTAAGCGATTAAAAAAAAAAACAAAAACCTCTTTCGGTAGATAAAATATGAGTTCATATTTCATTTTGTTATAGGCTTGCAGAGACTGAGCAACAATATGATTCAGTGCAGCAGGCTCTCTCACAGCTGACAGAAACACTGTCAGAAGAGAAGAGAAGGAGAGAAGCTGCAGAAGAAGCTCTTGGACTCTCTGAAGAGCTAAGTAACAGGTAAATAATCCTGTAAAACATGATTTTTTGATTTTAAGGGTATACGACAGATTGCTGTATCACATAAGTGTTTATGCTTACTTGAGTATGAAATAACCTGCGTGTTCAGAAAACTTAAGCCATCTTTCCCCTCTGGTTCCTCTTCTGGTTCCAGTTCCCTTTGGATGAATCAATATAGAGGTCTTCATTTACAGTAGGTCTGGAATAAATGCAAAGTGTACTACAGAACTGGAAAACTGTGTCAGATTCCTTAGTTTGCCCTTTATTTTTAGTGAGATTAGTGATAAGTTTACCTGTGCGTATTAGATTTCTGATAACAGAACAGAATCAGTTTGTAAGTCTACAAGTCTATGGTACCTGAAGCAAAGAAAATTCATGCGTGACTGTGTTAAAAAGCTGATTCTAACTCAATGGATCAAGAAAGTGTTAATGGCCTCTGATTTTGATGGCCTTTTTTTTTTTTTTTTTTTTTTTTTTTTTTTTTTGAGTCAGAAGAAATATACTGACAGCAGCTTTAGTACGGTCACATTTTAGATTTAAAATATTATCCATCTGCCTGAATAAAATCTCCATCATTATCATCATATGAAAATCACTAATCAGCTAGCAATGGTGAGGGTTATTCTGAATAAATGAAACACCTTGAGAGTAGATTGCAAATGGAGACTGAAGATGACTTGGCAACATAAACCGAATTTTACTGCTTTTTGTGGGGAGCTTCTCCCCGTAATGTAAGTGTATAAAATAATGTTTCTTATGTTAATTTGGAATTAGGAAAGATAATTCAGTATTTCATTGTCTCCCTTTACTTTTCCCCTAGATTTGAAGTAAGTAGTTACAGGTCTGTACCTAGAGAATACACTGTTCAGATGGAAACTGAGGAGGAAAGGGAAGCCTTAATCATCAATCCTAGTGAACATGTTATTGTACGAAAGGTAAGTGAATGAAAAACTTTTAAAAAACCCCAAATTCTAATCTACATATGTAGTGTGCTAATTGTGTACTGCTAATTGCAGATAGGACAGAAGGCAGCACAGTTCATTATTTCCTCCCACGGTACTATTTCCTTTCTCTTGTCTTCCTTCTGCTATGCCTCTGTCTCTTTCAACTTACTCATTTTTGAAGTGCAGATTTCCCTTCTGAGTCACTGGGAATCACTGATTTGGGTTGTCTTCTTTGTATGTAAACACTAGTGTCAAGCAGCTACTTCTCTAATCTGCCTTGACTCTGAAAAGCTCTCTGTGAAGTACTCTTTTTTACATATCATGGGGATGTGTTGGCTATGGAGAGGTCCATTCAACATAGCGAAGTAGATAATGAAAATACTTCGTTCTGTCAGGGTTGTGGATGATGGGTCAAATATAGGCAGCTACATAAACTATGGCACGTAACTAATTACATATGTTCGAATTAAAATATAAATAGTCTAAGAGTGTAATTTTGTTACACATGTGGCCATTAAATAAAATGTGTGTGTATATAATTATACATCCTCATCTTTAGAATGCATATGTAATTACATAATGCACAACTACCTTATATCCATTCTTCCTCCATTTATTACTGTTTCAATTTTATCTTTAAATAACCTATACTTACGGCCTTTGCTGTGGCATCCATTGCTGCATATCAGAGTTTGAGGGCTTAGAGTGCCTCGGAAAAATAGGTTCTAGAGATTCTTCTAAAAACTAGAGATTCTTCTCTTCTGTATGCATGAACACTTACTTGAAGTTTTTTGTTTCCTAACCAGGTGAAAGGAGGAGCCCTTTCCTTTAGAAGATGGCTTCGAGGACGAAGTCTTTACTGTTCTAAGCTGCTGACGTCCAGAGCAAAATCCCGCTATTTATTCCTTACATATTTAGTTACACTACATCTTGTTGTTTTACTGTGCCTCACTGGTGTTCTCTGAATGCACTGCATTTTCTGGGTAAATTATTTTCCTATAGGTAATGGTGTGCCAATTGAAGATAATAGACTTTTCACATGCTGCTGTTAAGCTATGCACTGGACACAGTTGTATATATTCTTGTTACACTACATGAATCTTGAGCTTCTTGTAAGAAATTTGTGTATATCACAGTTGCTCCAAAGTTGATTTGAATTGCTCTTTAACAGTGGGGTATTATATTTGCTAAGGAGAAAATATTTCCCTCATTTGCCCTATAAAGAAACTGCTGCATACAAGTTATTTAATATTGTTTGTGAGTACATAATGATTGATTACTACTGAATGGGTTGTAAATGATATCTTTTCTAAATAAATTTTATTTTAAGAGTTAAACTATACATTTTAAAGGAATATTCAGCTATTACTGTTTATTGGCTTCTTGATTATAACAAGAAGTTTTATAGAGTGCAATAAAGGAAGAAGAACTGGATTTTCGATGTGTTTTTTTTTTTTTTTTTTTCTGAAAATAAAAGGCTTAAGTCAGCTTTCTTCTATATCAAGTCCTTATAGTTTGTATTGGCTGTTGTCAAGGAGCACAGATATGTATGTGGTAATATGATAAGCCAAAGTGTAAGCATCAGTCAGGATTCAGAATTGGTATGAAGAAATGTCTTAAACTTCTTATACTCCTTTATTTTTGTTAAAAGTTGCAATTCCTGTAACTTTTTTTTTTTAATTCACTTCTTCTATTCTTTGTGGGTTTAGTTACTGTGTCTTTGGGGCAAAATGTTAATTCAGCTGCTCAACACATTAACTTCAGGTTTATAAATCTACAACCTGATGTATTTTAAATATTCCATAATACAAATGAAGAGAGGTTACATTTTCAACTTAAAGGCTATAAAGCAGAGGATTTGCATCGGTTTCTGTAGATGCCTAATGGAGCAATATGGCTGGTATATTTATACATCTGTATTTTGTTATAATCTCTGCACAACTATTTCTCCTATTCCCAGGACAGTTTATTATGAAGACTGTGGTCACTTGAAGCTAGAATGTTGTTTTTTCTCCTGGTATTGTTTGCTGTTTGTTCTGTGTTTTGTTCATGTCTGTATAAAATGGAGATGCATTCAAAACAAGCCAAGTCTAAAGAAGCAGACATTAAGTCATAAAAAGGATTGATTTCCTATTTGCTAGACTGAAGTCTTGTGGGAAAAGAAAAATTTAGTGAGTATGAAAATGGAAGGATTCCATCAGTTTCACTGATGGGCTGATACAAGATTGACGTAGATGTTAATGAGGTGAAATATCTTCTTATGGTGCAAAGATTCTTGTATATGAGGTCTCCTGTGCAGTCACGTTAAAAGTGAGAAAGGATTGGTTGGCACTAGATGTTTGCAGAGTTAACATTTGCCATATTGTGTCTAATATTCTGCATCATTTGTTTTCATCACATGGAATGGGAAATATTGCTGGCCATAATTACCATTCTAGGTAAAGCCTGGAAACTTCTCTTGATGATCTTTTAATATTTCTTAGCCTGTTAGTGGTCTGTATTCCTATATATGTCAAATATATTCCTATGTAATAGATATATATATATATTTTGTGGAATAGTTACTGGTCATCTCTTTTGAATGACTTATTGCTGATTCAGTCCCTGTTTTCAGCCATAGTGTCACCCAAGTACTGAGATAAGTCAGCTATTTTCAGGCTTTACACCACACAAACAAACAGCAAGTACAGTTGAAATATGAGTACTGTACGTGGTAAGACTTTTCCTTTTCCAGCTTGAAGATGGCTGCTAACAGGATGATAATGAACTATTCTTAGCTATTTGTGTTAATAGTGAAGTAGAATCCTTTCCAGTGACAACAGTGGACCACAAATCTTTCCAGTCTTGCTCATCTTATTTTTGTCTTCAAGGGAGATAGAAAATAATAATAATAATAATAATAATGATAATAATAATAATAATAAAAATAAATAAAAATCAATGACAAAAAACCCCTATGTCATGAGGCACTGCAAGTTAACATGTGGGAAAGGATCCAGAGATAGTGGAAATTCTGCCCTAATTTATCCAGACCTTTATGCTGTTCCTGTGATAAGCACAAACTGAAAAAAAAAGTTTCCAAAAATGGCTTGACACATGTAGATATTCTGTGAACACCATTCCTGAAGCTGATATAAATGTAATGGAAGGTGAGATCACTTCATTTACAAAGGCGCTTTTACAAATCATCACCATTTCCTGGGTAAGTACTGCCCTGAGAGTTTTTGGTATTACAGTTCATGATTTTAATGCTTCTCTTTACTTGTCTGACATCTTTTGGGGATATGTACACTTTCATCTTTCCAAACTGTGGACTTGGATACAGCTTACTTCAGCCATTGAAGGAATTCCAGAGGGTGTCCTAATGTAAGGTAATTCAGATTTTACTGTATGATTGCAGGGAAATGTAGATGTCTCTCGTCACTGGAACGATTAGTGGTGTACAGTAGAACCTTCTTAGTCTATCTGAAGGCTACAAAAAACACTAAGTGCAAACTGAACAACTGCCTATGAGCAGCAACGATAGAAACCGTGTTGAAGCACAAGGTGAATGTGTTCTGTCACATTTAGTTTTCTCGGAGTATTTTGTACTGGAAGACTACACACATAAAATGTGAGCTGTCTTGAGAATTAATTAATTCTGTATTAATTTCAGTTCTACCTACACTTGTCCGAACTTGTTGGGGAGCAAGGAGGGATGGGCAAGTGTTGTGGGGCAGGCGTATGTGAGGCACGGAGGCTTGAGGTTTTGATTGAATAGATAATTAAGGTATCTGTCTTCAGCATAGACAATAAGGAGTTTTATTTGGTGAGCACTAAATATGCATACAAAATGCAGAATGAGCTAAGCAATTTAAAAGCTTTAATAGTTCTCTCTGGATATTACGCAGAAACCAGTAGAAACCAAGGGGAAGTTTTCTGTTAATTTTATTCAATTTTGGACTAGGAATTAGAAGAAATTGAAATTAAAAATCAAGGAAATTTAGGCAAGTCTTTGTGTTTTGGAACTTCATCTAGTGAAAAGATTTCCAAATGACTGCTTTGTGGAAGTGATTATTAAACCTATAAATTGAGCAGCTGCAAAGCAATAATGACAATGAAAGGTTTTATATTTCAGTAGTGCTCTTTATCATTTACCTTATGACCAAGTAATAATAAGCAAAGCAATGTTGTTGGTATTTTTTTAAGCAGGAAATGAACAGATTCAGCTGTTGATTTTATTAAGTTTCAGTGACTTCTCTGGAATTGAATCAATACTGAATAAAGGATGTAAAGTGCATTACTGTTAGCACCCCAAAGTGTAGCTTGTAAGGATGAATTGGGGTTTACCCCTGAATTTTTTTCCTTGAGTATGGCTGTACTGACATTAGTTCTACATGCACAGTTACATATAAAATGCTGTTTTCATGAATGAATGTGATTATTATTTCTCACCATGGAGGACTAAATATCTTTGTCATATCCAGTCTTTAAAACCATGGAACAGTGCTGAACTCTCAGAGCCACGGAGAATTTCTCTACTTTCAGTATCTCTACTTTGAAATTGTAGTGTCTCATCTGATGCAATTCCTGCATTTAAGAACCAAATTTCCTTCACTTCAGACTCACGCTGATGGAATCAGAGTCTGGATACAGTTCTGTAAAGCTGTATGAAGCTGGTAAATGGTTACTTTATTGCATTCTAAAAGCCTTTTCCTTAGGGTTTTGGAAGAAAGTAGGTTCATGGCAACAGGAATGAATGGTCAGAAATACCAGCTACTGGAACTGATGTTCCTAAATCAAATCTGTTAGCAAATTTATGTGATAAAAATACTTTTTTTTTTTTTTTTTTTTAGAAGGAATCTGCTACTCATAGGCAGATTAACAACAATTAAAGCGATTATTGCTATTTTAAAATAATGTCATATTTTTTGAATTATGCTTCTATTTCATCTAACGATGTTTTGATCAATTAGATGTCATAACCTTACTCCATAAAACCTATGGGAAAGGATTGAACAGCAGGAACTTCCTGCAGCTCAAGCTTCTTTTGATACAGAAGGGGCGCAGCCTACTGTCACTGCGCAGTCATTGTCTGTTGTGACAAAAGCTGGGTTTTGAATGTCCAGGGACTTCAGTATTATTGCAGGGATCCTCTGAAGAGAATGAGACTATTTTAAATCCCACAGGTAGGGCAGAATGACTTGGTCTGAGGGAAAAACCTGAATTTTACTGGCTGCTCTGCCACTGCTAATGGCCTGCCCCTGTGCACGGCACTTGCTTAGGTGGAACTGAAATGCCATCAGAAGTCACATACTTGTTTGCATTGGTAGGGAGAGGACTTTGCTGGGTAAGTTCTGTTTTTCTGTTCATTCCTTTCTCATTCCTAACATACCTCTTCCTGACTGAGCGAAGTAGCTGGAGAAGGAAAAATAAGGTACTTGCCTCTTCTTGACTGCCTAAAGAGGCAATCCTACAGCCCTAAAAATAAACAAGGAATCTGAAACAGAAGTCTTGGTGAAATTCTGGCCCTCCCTCAGTGGGATTTTTGCCATGGATTTCAATGAGTTCAGGACTTCACCTGATATGTTGGCCAACCCTAAAGTTTCATTGGTTTGGGTCAGTTGTGCCAGCCACGTCTTGTTCTGTTTCCCAGAATAGCCACTTTGATAAGGTATTTACCATTTACAAATATGGAATGGATCCTTTAGTGAGCACTTAACATTACAGAGTAGCTGTCATTTAAAAACACGGCAAACACTTTCATGAAACTTCTTGTAGGGGTTATTTTTAGTTGCTTGTTTCAGATTGATGATGGCCCTCTAAGAAAAAGGCAAATTTAAAAATGCCACTAGGGAATAAATGTAGCATATGAAGGAATGAATGTTCAGGAGCTCGTTTACTGTTTGAGTACTGACATTGTAACTGGTAGGCACATGCGATTAATTTGTTTTTAACAAATAGAATTTCTAGAAGGTAATTCGTCCCCAGAAGACAGGGAGTTATACCTGCTGAAATCCATGTAAGAGCTGAATGTGCATCCTTTCGCTGAACTTACCCCATGATCACCAAGTCAAAGAACAGAACAGGACTCTGAGGCTATATTGGAGGAGATTTCTCTTCTGGAAATCAAGACTGAACGTCTTCATTCATTTGGTTCAATAAATTTATTCAAGTAGAAACTTGTGTGGATACTTAACATGCTTTCTAATATTGAGGCTGTATAGACTTTGCTATTTAGGTTCAGTCTTTTTCCTTTTTTTTTTCTTCTTCTTTTTTTCAGCAATTTGCTGCCTAAAAGGTGGAGAGTTGCTTCTGTCCTATTCCATTCCATCTACTCCCTCCCCTCTCCTCTCTCAAATTACTGTTTTGCAGCCACAGCTGTGAGGCACCATGTGTGATGATGATGAAACCACTGCCCTTGTCTGTGACAATGGTTCTGGGCTTTGTAAAGCTGGGTTTGCAGGAGACGATGCCCCAAGAGCTGTATTTCCATCCATCGTTGGACGTCCTCGACATCAGGTCTGTTGGTACCAAAATGGAAGCTCTGTCCGCTCTTGTTTTTGAGACTTGTGGCAGTGACAAAAGATCGGTATTATTTGGACAAACCTCCCATCCACATCTGTGGGAATTTAGCTTAAGAACCGGTGGATTGAGCTGCATGCCTTTAATACTGTTAGGTGAATTTTTCAATCCATTGGAAAAGGTAGTCTTCAACTATAAAACGTTGACTATAGGAGAACATAAGTGTTTTAATGACCTGGAGGTGTCTTTCGGGGGAAAAAATGAACGCAAGGCTTGCTGGATTAATTAATACTTGCTGTATCAATACAAAGAAAAAAGCAGAATGCTGCTAACATGAGGAACCAAATGTTAACCAAATAATAGGAGGAAGTTCCTTATATTGTTCTATTAAACAATGGCAGGGCCCATTAACCTTCCAAAAACATCTCTAGCACATCACTTAATCAACTCAAACAGGACTAGTATGGATAAATGTAGCTTTTCATGAACTTGAAAAAGGTCTTGCTGTTTAATTAGTTTTCTAACAGTTCCTTTAGAAAAAGAAGCTGCAGGTTTTCATTCATTTTATTCTTAACTGAGTCAGATGTTAAATTTCTGAGGTGTAAAAACCCTTCCCTTGAAGTTCTCTGTGTTCTTTTGCTGAGTTAAATAAGCTTGATTTGATGGGTGTAAAATATTTAGCATTTTAAGGAAGGCATTTTGATCAACTCTATGAGTTATTAAAGTTTAAATGTCAGTTGTTGAAAACATGTCCATTCTTTAACTTCTAGAATTGCTCACTGACTTTTATTAGTGATTAGAGCTGGCAGGTAATTTTGCACAGTGAAGCAGTTCAGTGACTGCATTATTAAATCTTTGGAATTAAAACATATCCAGGAGAAAATTAAATATTTTTGTGCTAGTTGCTGAATAACATTGTACATAGCATATTATGTTATTTGGAGCAAGTATGGTAGCATTCCTAATGCAAACATGATGAACTTGCTAAAACTATTGTTTAATAAGTTTTCTTTCAGAAAATGCCTTTGTTAAACATTTTACAAAAGAACATTAATCTTCAAAAATTTTCAAAACCAAGTGTTTTTCATTTTACCTGTGTTCTAAACCAGTCCTCCAGCAAGGAAGAGTCTCACCTTAAAGGCAGCAGTGGAATTGCCTAGACACAAAGTGCAAGCAAATATGTAAAGCCAATCTGGGGAGCCAAAAAAAATAAATAAATAAAAAAATATTCCTTTTTCACCTATAATTCCTTTCATGTATTTCTTTGTGAAACTGCAAAGGATCCACCTCTTCTAGAGAAACTGTGAATTTACTGATACCTGTCTAGAGTGGGCTCCTGCACAGGTACTAATTGTGCCCAGTGTGAGATATCGGACTTCATTTCTGAAGCTGCCTTGTGCTTTCTGGTGGGTTTGTCAAAGGGGTTAATATGGAGTAGGTGGTTACCGATAAATTCGCATTTTTAGTGAATTAGTTTCCTGCCCATTTTTGGCTTTGTGGAGGTACATGCTAGAGCATCGGTAGCAGTAGCAAGTAAAGTATTTCACATGGAGTTTTAACTTAAAAATTATAATCTCTGTACTGTGCATGATAAACTGCACTAATATTAGAACAACATACTTTACAGGGTGTTATGGTTGGAATGGGTCAAAAGGACAGCTATGTAGGGGATGAAGCACAAAGTAAAAGAGGGATCCTGACACTGAAATATCCCATTGAGCATGGAATCATCACTAACTGGGATGACATGGAAAAGGTGGGTGTTAATTTTTAATATAATTTCAATGAAGCATCATGTTATCATGTTAAGACAAAAATAATAATAAATAAATGCCATAATCCTTCTTGCAAATGAGAGGAAAAGTCCGTGAAGAATTTATAATCTCAGTCTAGTGCAATATGTTGGTCCAGGAGTCCAGTTGTTAATCAGGTCTTGGCACTTCTAGAATTGTTACTGTTTTAAAAAGTCAACATTTATTAGGTTTGGCAGTAGGTTATAAAAGTATTTTTTGATTTATAATTACTATTTTCAGTCCTGAAGTCCATACTGAGGCAGAACTTGATGTGATGATGATAGGAAGTAGCTTAAGTAACAACCATACAGGTTGCCATTCATCAGATGTGAATCAGAGAAACATTAAAGATATATTCCTTCAGTTGGGATCAAAACTGAGGCAGGGGGATGATTTTTCCTTCTCAGTTCTTTCCTACATGAACAAGATCATGGGTGATGCCCACGTGTTGTGCTGTGTAGGATGTTTTCGCTGCCAGTTAAAGAGGAGAGGACAGATTTGGGCTTCCTGTCCCTATACTAATTATCTGAGTAGAGGGCTTTTGTTCATGAAGCATGTTTTCCTGTAGCCGATTCCAGTTAGATTTTAACATCTGTGTGGTGATAAGGCTGCTGTATTCCCTGTCAGGCACAGCTTTTTTGGCATTCAGCCTGCATAATGGCTTTTTGTGAAATGCCTATCTAAGGATGCCTCAGACCTGGCGTGGGCAATGAGGTGTGCTCATGACAAGCACTGGAGAGGGCACTCTTACTGTGCAAAGTCTCTCTCATGTCCCAGGTGTCCTGGTCTTTGCAGTAAGCGTCTGTCTGTTTGTGGAAATGCTGTACATCTGCTGTAGGGGCAGGATCGCAACTCAGTCCTGTGCCATCTCCAGGTGGAGTGCTCTGAGAAGAGATGAAAACAACACAAGACAATGCTCCTAGTCATGTCTTCCTGTGGAAAACACCACTGAAAGGAAGACACAGGGCCTGTAGTACCCTGTGCTTGCATTTGCTGAGATGAGGTATAGCTGTATACCTAACATCAGATAATTCAGCCATTGTGTTGTGGTCATAAACCCAAATTGCTAAGTGCAGTGTTCCAGATGAACAGACTGAAGTTGATACAGAAGCAATGGCAGTTTCTGAGTTCATATTTGGAGATAAATTGCCCACCTACTCCTCTAGATGGAAGCATAGTATTTGCATTTCATTATTGCACTCCTTCTTGGGAGGGAGGGCACCTTGCTTGTTTCTGCAGAGTAGGATATATAGGAATGAGAATGTAATTCCCATTACATTGTTCTTCCTAATATTTGCTTCCTGCTTCCTACATCAAGTAGGAAAGTTTATTTACCTTAAAAAAATAAATAAATAAAGTGGAGGTCACTCTTGTATGTTCTTCTCTCGATGTTTGGTCTCTGCATCTAAAATTTCACCGGTGTGTTACATATACTGGTATTTGTTCCCTTTCTGGGTAATGCTGGATACTGGAGTAGGCTGTATAAAATGTAGTCAGGAAAGGGTATTAAAGGAGGTAAAAATGCGGCATGTGCTTTATTTACTGTAGTGTGCTGCAGTGTAGCCTATTGCCCAGACCTCCCCCTTCTTAGGGGAATGGCCTCCAGGGGTGTTCTGTGGTAGAGGCTTCAGACAGTGCTGGAATTTGAATAATGACAGGATACTGTATGGGTTCTTGTGGTTTGAACATTTTTTTTTTCTTCCTCTTTTTCTTTATCATATAAGTGGGTGAAGGAATTAATTGTGAAAGTGAATTCCTAGCTCAAACTTTCTTCAGACATACAGCTTGCAAAATGCAGTAGCTGGGAAAGATGCCCCCAAACGGAATTGTTCTCAGACTAGGAGTGGGACAGAAAGCAAAGGCAGTTTTCAAATAAAAGAGCAACAAACAGAAAAAGAAGGAAGCATGAGATAAAGGCAGTGAGAGATGAGAACGGTGTTGCTAACTTTTGTGGTTGTTGCAAATAAAGAAATATATATATGTAAAATATATATAACATTTTATATAATGTATTTATTGCGTATATATATTTTTTCTTATGGTCCCTCTTGATTCAGTCAGCTGTATGATCCCATTGAAATCTCAGTTTCCACTGAAGCTCAGTAAAACACGTGTGCATGCATTTCTGGATGAGAGAAGTTCTTAAATGTAATTCCCAAAGTTTTGATGCTATGGATATATTTTATCCCCATGTTTTTTAAAGCAGTTGCAGGGTTTTGATCCAAATTTTGAATTTCTTTTGCATACTTGGCAATAAAAGTACTGAAAAACATCATGCTGTAGAATAAACAAGAAAATTACTGGGGGACATGCCAAAAAAAATGGGACAGAGGCATAACAGTGCAGCGCCTAGCCATCCACACATGACAAAAAGAGGGGGGTCACTGAGCGAGTGAGTAAGCACGAGCGTGTGTGCATGTATGTGAGAGGAAGAGAGAGCAAGGATGCTGCAGGATGCACAGACACTCGTGTGAATCAAGGGCAGAACGTGTAGGCAATGAAATGGAGCATTCTTCTTCTCATGTGCTTCAGTTCACAATATTCAAATTGGGAGTGCTCCGTTTTCCACGGGATAATAATACAGGGCATTGTACATCACTGTTAATTTGTTCACAGCTACTGAGCTGACAATGTATGGGAGGAGAAGCATTAGAATGGAGCGATTTCTGGCTCTGATGACTACATAAATGTTTAAGTGTTAGAATAATCCTTCCTCAGTAATTTCTCTTTGCTATTGTGCCTGCTGCTTAAATTTAATTCTTTTGACCTATTAAAATCAACACTAGGCTATTCTTGTTTCTCGTGGAATGTCATTATCCATTACAGTTATGACTATCATTAGATCAAATCTATTGATTTGTACAGTGCCTAATCCTGCCTGGTTTTAAGGACAAACTTGCAACATGCCAGAGATTTCAGCAGGGTCCTAGTTTATTCATACAGGTTTCTTCACTGTTGAAATCTTCAGTACTTTCTTAATTATGTATGGATTGAGGTTTCCTTCTCTGTCCTCAGTTAAGTCTCTCCTGTCTGGAATTGCAGGCTTTTTATTCTCCTTATATCTGACACACATTGTCCTTTTTTTAAACTTTTACATGATTACTTTGTTTTTTTCAACTTCCCCGTCTTTGTTTTCTGAACCTGCAAGTGGAGGATGGCCTACATCCCCACCCCAAGCCTCAGTTGTGGAAACATCTTTTTGTTTTGTTTTGTGGTAGTTTTTTAAGGGAACTGAGAAGGAATGGAATTTTTTCTCAGGGCTCATAATTTTCTTAATGAGTAATTCCAGCTCTGGACAGCTGCTGACTTTGTAGATGTTTCCAATTTAGATAAGATCTTTTTTTCTATTTAAATTCATTTTGGAGCCTGATAATACTTGTTTCTAGGATATTAATCAAGTAAACTTACCTATAAACCTGATGTATTGTGCTCAGAAATAAGTTTCTTGGGTCAAACAAAACTGGAATATGATTAAAAAGAGGAAAAAATAAGTACAGGAAAGAATTAAATGTGAAGATGAAAATATTTCATCATGTTCCTGAATGATCTCTCTTTGAGCTGGCATCAGGAAAAAAAAATCCCTTGAGTTTCTCATAGCCTCAGTCTTCAGACGATAAGGGCCTTGATGTATCAGAAGAACAATCAAAGCCATTATTGTTTGATCAGGTAATGCCTTCCAACATGAAAAATACTATGGTGCTTTACAGAAAATAAGAAATGTGGTTACTCTATAATAAATGAAAGTTTGATTCAGGGTTTACTGGATGGAATATCTGTGGAAAAAAAGGCTTTTGATTTTTGTGGAAATAATTAGATTTATAAAGACCATATTGGCAATGACTTGCAACTGGATATCTGCCTCCAAGCAGCTTGAAGTGGAGAAGTCTCTCCAGATCTGGCAGTTCAGTGCTTGGCTGTGCTCCAGTGCCAGAGCACTGGGGCTGGCAATTCAGCAGTGCTCCTCTTTACTGGGGATGATCCATCATCTGCGTGGGGAATCCTACCTGGCAGGACTCCCTTGTGTATGCTCTGCTATTACATATGGTAAAATCCCAGTGGTTTTGGTTCTGAAATAAAATAGAATGGAATTTAGCACATTCAATTTTGCATGCTTTTTCTCTGTTTTAATACGTCTGTAGAAAATTCACTTGGACTGTGCTTGAAAAACTTTTAATGTAGTTCTGTTATATGCACAGAAGGAATACTTTCCAGACCATTTTTCTGAGCAGTTTTCATTTCAGATTTGGCATCATTCTTTCTATAATGAGCTCCGTGTTGCACCAGAAGAACACCCTGTGCTGCTCACTGAGGCCCCCTTGAACCCGAAGGCGAACCGTGAAAAAATGACTCAGGTAATGGTCCGATGTCAAGTGGGAATGCTGCACTGCGGATCATTTCTGCATAGAAGCAGCCATGGTATACGTAGTCCTGGATGTTCAGCTTTCTTAATTTGGGAGATACAGACCTTAGGGTTAGTATTTGAGCATGCTGTTTGAACCATGATGAGAGCAAAAGTTTCTGCTACATATTAGTTCTCTGAATGTCCCTAAAATGATTTGTTCTTGCATGTAGCAGCATTCTATGTACAACTAGCCTCTTAGTAGCTGTAAGTGATTTTCTTTGTTTACAAGGCTGTGTGTGTGTGGCTCGGTATGTGGGGAAGGTGTGGACAGGAGACCAAAGCAGCTCCTCTTCCATTAAGTGACTTTCAGTGCAGCGGTTTGTGAGTGCTGCACGCTCGTCACCTACACTTTGGATCAGTGACACCTATTATATGTCTACCTCTGGCTACAGAGACTGAGTTTGTAATAGCCCAACACCTTAGCTTAAGCTGTAGACACTATTGCTTTTCTACTCTGAAGAATGTCACTTTCTCAACGCTTTTACCTCATAGTGCTCATTATCACAATATCAGAATTGTTTTGGGTTTTTTTTTTTGAAGATGTTTTAAAGGCCATGTGCACATAGAATTGTGGATCTCCTAACAAGCACATCTTCAGGGACCGGGGAAAAAGTGTTCAAAAAGTAGTCTTTGTTCTGGCTTGGGAAAATGGATTATGTAGAAGCATTCAATCTGAAAGGATGCTTTGCTAAACATTTCTGTAGTCAGACATGCCCAGTCTGATTTAGCAAACTCATCTCAGAACCAAATGTAGACCTCTGAAGCCTTTGTATTTTAGAGCAGCCTTCTGACCTAAAGTCCATGTTGTAGATTTAACCAGTAGTGTAACCAGATGTAAATGTTATTTAAATACAGATATAGGTGTAAAGTCATCTGGGAAAATCAAGTATGGCCTTGAGCTTCCTTTTGTGCACATTTCTGGCGTATACTGAATAGGAAGATTATGCATTAATTTAGTAACAGTGTAAATAAACTAATTAAGTAGTGAGCATGACAGCACACGTTACTGGGAGATAATACAACTGGGAGATAATAAATAACAACAAGACATAAGAAAAACCTGGTTTATAGCAACCAGGAAGTGTGGTTTTTACAGTAGACATGTCTAGGACTGTTTCTTTGTCATTATGCTGTGATGATAAATCCTGTTTTCAAGATTGTTTAAAGGCTTACTGTTTATTGCTTATTGCATTAAATTCATTACAGTAATTAACTATGAAATATTGTAATTAATGCATTCTTTAATTGACAGCATACTTTTCATTAAAATACATTTACTGGCAAAGGTATTAGTTTATGAAATGCAAAGTCTAAATGTAATCCCCTGATTCCAGTGGCTCCGCACTTTTGACAGACAGAATGGTGAGATGTGGTCATAGCAGTGCTTCTGGCAATGGGGTGACACTGCCTAGGCTACACGGCATTGGTTTTAGAAAGAATAAAGCCACTCCCTGTCCTCCCTTAATGGCTTTCCTTAGCAGAGTTCCAGTGGAAGGCCAGCTGGGAACGAATAATATTCCTTCTGGTCAGATAAAATGTCAGTGTATCTGACATGGAATGTGGAAAGCACTGAAGCTTTCTAGAGTAGAGATAGGGGACAAGATGAGAGACCATGGTTAAGGTTACCATAAGGAGAAAACAAACTGTTGTGATTGCAGGGGGCAGAGTGAGATGTCATGGGTTTAAACCAGACCAAGTGAGGTTTTAGCTAGACACCAAGAAAGGCCTTACAATATTAGGGACAGTGTGTCACTAGATTTGTTTGCCAGAGGAATCTGAATGCCCCAGCAGTGGAATTTCTGAGACAGAACAAAAGCTATGTCAGGAATGGTTGATTCTTCCTTGATTTGGGAATAGAGATTATTCCTTGTAGTTTCTTCCAGTGGTGTCTCCTACAAATCTTACATATATATATATATGTATACACACACATGTGTATATATATAAATATGTATATAAACATATATATAAATATATGTCAGACTGCTGTGCTGTTGCATTCCTTCCATCAAGGTGAAAAAACATCACTTTCAGTGAATATTACCAGTAAAAAAATGACCTAGTTTGAGGTTAATGGAAATGTATCCACTGACTTCAGTGATTTTTATGAAACCCTAAAGAAAATATAGTGTGCTGTTCACAGAAGAGCCATGGGTCAGGAGGCGACTTGGGAGTAGTAACTGGCAGTATTTATTTAAGAAAAAAAAGATGGTCTTTTCAGATACTCTTAGTGCAGATCCTAAAGGTTTGCAAATCTTTAATTACAGATTATGTTTGAGACGTTCAATGTGCCAGCCATGTACGTAGCAATTCAGGCAGTGCTGTCTCTGTATGCATCTGGACGAACTACTGGTGAGTCTCTCTGGGAGTCATATTGTCCACCTGTCCTTCCCTTGTGTACGTGTGTGCATGTACACAGATGTCTTGATTGTGTATCACAGACATCAGATGTGTATTAAGAAAGGTTGATAGCTGTATGGAAACTGAATGTACGGGTATGGATCTTAAGTCCTTCTGCTTCAAAAGATCAAGTCAATTCAACTACATGAGCAGATGAAAGATGATACAGCTTGATACTGCCGTTAATTACACAGCATAGAGAAGAGGCTGTATCTTAACTGGATTGTTCCAAATCTACAGATCCTTCTTATTCACTTCAAGCCTCTCTATTGTTAAGCTCCATTCCCAGTAGAAGAAAAATACTGTTCAGTAGTTAAATGAAAATATTTCATTTAAGTGTTGAATTTCAATAACCTAACTTGATATCCATTGTTAAGCGATCATTAGAATTAGCATGGAGATCTATTCTTATTGCCATTTAGAATCTGATCAGGCATTAAGATGATAAATTACTTCTTAGCAACCCTTCAGTGTTGATATACTTTGAAAAAAAGAATTAGAATACCATCTGTCTTTGTAGCCTGATGCCATAGTATAATTCCGTATAAAAAGATCACCAGCCTACATGAATTATGACATGTCATAAATACTTGCTTTAGGTTTAAAACTCAACTGTTTATGTGTGTCTTTGATATCAGAAATGCTGTACTTATTTTAAGCGGAAAATATATACTTCTTTTTCTATTCAAGAATGTAAGTGATGTCTGTGCACAGATAAACAGTTGTTTTATTTTTTCCTCATGGAGTGATTTATTTTAATGGCAGACAGATTTTTGTGTACAGTTTACACATTATTTAATGTCTGTGAAGTGCTAGGGGTCTTCTGAAATGGAAGGCTCTGTATATGATTGTTACTGGTAGCATCTGTTCAGTAAGAACAATACAGTCAAACTGCTGAATGTTACATGTCTTTTCCCAGACAGTTACTTAGTTTGTGCTGACAACTTCATCTCACATGAACAGCATTTGATTTATAAGAATAACAGAATAATCATCATGTGAACATCTTGTTGTTGCATGTTTCAACTTAGAATATGGAGGATGTAGAGACGGTTTCAGTGAAAAATAACCACCTTTTCTTTTTCTTTCTCTTTTCAGGGATAGTTTTGGATTCTGGGGATGGTGTCACACACAATGTGCCTATCTATGAGGGCTATGCCTTGCCTCATGCCATTATGAGACTGGATCTTGCAGGCAGAGACCTGACTGACTATCTCATGAAGATCCTTACAGAGAGAGGCTACTCTTTTGTCACCACTGGTAATAAGCTGTGTTTTGTGTGCACTTTGCATGCATTCGCTGTGGTAGTTGTCTTATTACGCTGGAATCCTGTACCTGGCAAGATGCATCAAAATCCTTATCTCAAAGTTAACTAATGGATAGCTAATGGGATACTCCTGGCTTTGCCTTTCAGCACATGCTATTTCACTGACAAATTAACTGGTTGCTGGATTTGATATTACCTGTTCCACAGACAAAAGAACAAAGTTATTAGCTGGTAATGGATGAACCTCTAAAGATTTGATCAACATTTTGAGACATAAAAATTTTAACTTTAGACTTTATGGTATTCTCTAGTATTACATGTCTTTTATCTGTGGATGAGAGAATTTTGGTAATGGTAATGGAAAGTAACATAGCTGAGATAGCAGGGAGATCAGAATTCAATGGACTGTATGATCAACATGAACCCAGAGAAATGTGCCCAAGAATACCTGTTTCCTAGCTGTCATACTGTATGTTGATTAAAAACTTGTTGGCTGTCTGCAGCGGAACGGGAGATTGTGAGAGATGTAAAGGAGAAACTTTGTTATGTGGCTCTGGATTTTGAAAATGAAATGGCAACTGCTGCTTCCTCCTCCTCTCTTGAAAAGAGCTATGAACTTCCTGATGGGCAAGTCATCACCATTGGAAATGAACGATTTCGATGCCCAGAAACTCTCTTCCAGCCATCCTTCATAGGTGAGACATGGCTTTTCTTTCTAGGGATTTAACAGTCTGTGAAAAGAAGTATTTCTTAGAAAGTATAGGAAGCCTGCAGTTGTTGGAACTTAGGTATTTATTCTCAAATGCCCGTAAAAAAATGCAGCTTCTATTTACTTAATCAATTCTTTAGAAGCTGCTTCAAAAAGGTACTTGTCAGTTTGGATATAATAGAATTTTAAGACAGTTTCAACCTTTTATAAATGCAATAGAGACTGTTTAGAGAACTGTGAGAAGATCACTGCTTTTTATCTTGACTGATGTATAACTGCACAGTGCTGCTCATGTGTTTTATTTAATCTAGATTCTGCTTCTGTTTATTGTTTCATTATATTAATCTGTAATTTAATCTTATTAAAAATTCTGTAATTTAATCTTACTAAAAATCAAATGAAATATAATTTTCCAGTAGTTTAAAATCTGTAGTGTTAAAATTCCCAGGGATCAAGGTTGGTGCTAAACAAGGTTAGTATTGGAAATGTAGCTATGGCACTTATGATTTCCCAGATCACCAATCTCTGTCAAAATGTGTTTATTAGTTAGAAAAGTACAGTAATTAAAGATCGGGCTCTACTTGCGGAACTTTATCAGGCCTGTTTCTCTTCCTCAGAAAAAAAATGCTACCATAATTTAACTTTACTGTAGTGGCATTCTAGTTTAACTGACACCTCAAAATCAAAGTCGTCCAGTGAAATGCCAAGTGGGCTTCTATTTCTTACTAACAGCATCGTAAAAGGTTATCAATATGGAAAATTATTGCAGTAATAACTCTCTTTTTCTGAAATACTGCTATATTATTATTATTAATTATTTCACTTCAGGAATTAATTATTTTTTTAATTTGAAATTGTAGTAGGGATCTTTCTTCCTCATGTGCCTATTTTGCTAGCATATTAGTCTGGCCCTATGCTGAGATGACAAAGGTGAGGAGTGTACACTGTCTTTTTCCTTCCTCTCCTAAGCACCACATGTTTTTTTTTTTTTTTTTTTGTGGAGTTTTCCTAAGGGAGACAGGTGAGGGATATGATCTTGGACTAGTGAGCCTTCTTTTCATGTTAACAACTATATAAAAGAAGGGGGCAAAGAGAAATAACATGGTGAAAACTTCTTTCCACCCAGGGATGGAGTCGGCAGGTATCCATGAAACTACATACAACAGTATTATGAAATGTGATATTGACATCCGTAAGGATCTGTATGCCAACAATGTACTCTCTGGAGGAACCACAATGTATCCTGGTATTGGTGATCGTATGCAGAAAGAGATCACAGCTTTGGCTCCAAGTACCATGAAGATTAAGGTAATTCTTAACACTTGCTCCTACCCTTCTTTTGTTGAAAAAATAAAGCTGAAATGTCCTTAAGAGAATATCCAATTCCTGTATCAGAGTCCCATTAAGAGAACTGTGTCTTGGACAGGTGGCCTTAAACCTCCTTTCCTTCTACCAGCCAAAGAAGGGCTGAAAGAGGGCTTTGAGAGGTAGGGATGAGCCTAGAGAAAAAGGAGGTGTAAATACCAATGGGGAAATGAACAACTTGAGAAGCTACTGGGAATATTATTGACTTCAATGCTTGGCTAACAGTGAAAAAAAAAAACAGTGGAAGAAATTTCACTTACAGATTCTTCACTAATAAATTCAAAATCTAAGCAGTGTACAAAGTATACAGCTTGTTAGCTATTTGAAATGACCCTCCTAGCTTTAACTCAAGACAATGTATAGTGTACAGTGCTCTTGTATATTATAAGCAGTCTCTGTATATACTGCTGTTTTTCAAATGCACAATTGCTTTGCTTCGTTAATAAGCAGAGGATATGGCAAATTGAGAAAATGAGAGTTCAGTGGTCCTTTATTGTCACCTCTCTGTGCAATGGCCTCAAAATTTTTAATTATAGCTAGATTCGTAGTGCATTTTCATTGATGAATTTATTTCAAAATGGGCAAAATAGAGAGGATATTGAAAGTTGTTAACGTGATTGGGTTTCCAACATTATATATGTCATCCTTTACCAAGCTGCACATGTCCTTGTGTTAAACAGTTAACTGGTGTTAACAGCTCCACAGCTGGTGGCACTTTGGACCTGCCAGGTCTGAGCACAGGACCAAGTCAGGTCTGTTCTGACTGACTTGGAGGGAGGACTTCTCTGTGGATGCTGCTGAAAATAGCCACCTGAGACTTTGAGCAGTATTATGGCTTTACGCTATGTTAGTGCCCAAAGTGAAATCTGTGTGAAATCTAAAGCCAGTTTTTATCTTGCAACAGGCTGCATGCTGAATGGGCATGACTCCAAGTGGCAGGGATGGAAACGGGAACACGCAGAAGCAGTGGCATGCTTAATGTATTTTAACAAGTCAGTGGCTAAGGGGGGAAGAGGTGGCAGGTCTTCTAGCCCTATGTCTAGTATTTAGCTAGGTATACAGGGCCAGTCTATATGGAAGGTTGTTTCTTTCATTTAAAGGACTACTTTATCCTTAAAAATAAAATCCTTAGGTCATACCATGCAGTGTTTATTAGCAATCAAATTAGGTTAATCTTTTAAAGTTTTGAGTTCTTTCTTAAGCTTGTAAATTTTGGAAGATATTTTGTAGGGCATCTCATATTTTATGGGCTGAAATTATTTATTTGCTCATCGTAACAGCATCTCTATTGACTTGAGGTGGAAGGCAGAGAACACGGCAAGCTTTCTACCTCTTTGGTGCTTTATTTCAGTGCAGTTGCACTGGTATGATGATAAGACTTTTACCTAGTTATTTCATCCAAAGAGATGTTACTGTGTTACCTGCCTGTCAGTTTATTTACAACAGATTGCACTTCTTTTCTAGATGATCGCACCACCAGAACGTAAATACTCTGTCTGGATTGGGGGTTCAATATTGGCATCGCTGTCCACTTTTCAGCAAATGTGGATCAGTAAAGATGAATATGAGGAAGCTGGCCCCTCTATTGTCCATCGCAAGTGCTTTTGAATACTTCTATCGTGTACTGTCAGTGATAAGTAGTGCTGTTTCTCACATTATCTGCTCTCATTCACTCTGAGGGAGTTACATGTTTTGGCTTTCTTCTACCTGTAATAAAGCACATTATAGGGGTGTCATACAAATTAGTATATTACTTTTAATTTTTTATTGCTAAAATGAGGCTAATGTTTCAGTGACGGGCGTTTTCCAAGATAAATAACAATTATAGTCAGGGTTTTGTAGACTTCCCCTTCCCAATTTTTATGTACTGAACTGCCATCCATTCAGGAGGCAGCACGTTACATCTGCATGTTAATCTCTGCTAATTGGTGGTGAGTCTGAAGTACCCACATAGAAAGTAATTCTTTCAAACTCAGACATAATGCAAGATTTAAGTGCCACATATGGCTTAATTTATGTAGCTAAGTAGTAGATAGGACTTTTCTAAGGGGGGGGGGGGTTACTTTACTGAAGATAGAGTGGATTTATGTGGGTGCTAGTGTGCACATTCTCTTTCAGTGGGGCTCACATGGATGTCTTTCCTTTGCATGCTGAAATTGTTTGGCAGGAGTCTTTTGTCTCCCTGTGACCACCACTCCCCAACAGTAATGAGTTTCAACAAGCTACAGTGACTTTTGCATTCACATGTAACAGATTAATTTACTTTGCATGTTATTTTCTTCATCTCTTCCTAAGCAGTGAAATGATATTTCTTTTTACTTTTGCTGTGCTATGCTAAGGTAATGATTACTGAGTAAATAATAACCTTTTAAATATGTTATTAAAATTTTCTGGGTTTAATGGATCAATAAAAGTGTAATTACCCATGTAAGACTGATGTGGCTTACATTATTTTCATAGTGATGAGTTTATCTATTAAAGATAAAATAATAATTACTAAGTTCTAATTTAATTTTATTATGAAAATTGTTTCATTCCCTCTGAGTTTTCTAGATAAACAATTTTTAAATGAAAACAGAATTGTTTCACAGTTTCCATAAAAATGTATATCTTCTCGGATGACAAAGTTTCATAATGTTCTGTATTCAAGCCAGCTATAAAGGTCACATTTTCCTACTTCAGATATCAGGCAAGTAAGTTCTTTGTGATTCTGGATGCCTTAGAATTTGAATTGATAATGATGTAAGGTTTGATGTGTGTTTCATGATTTAAATCAAGCTTGTAAATCAAGTTTGATGCACTTGCACTGTGAAATAGCAGTACATGTTTTTTGTTTTGTTTTGTTTGTTCGTCTTTTACTAAATGAATAATAGCAAGGCTTCAGGATGTTGTGACTTGCATTAAACGCTGTAATGTGCTGGGGGCTGGGAGTAGAACCAAATCCAGAATTCCTGACTCCCAGACAACTGTTCCATCAGCTGGACAATGTGTGCTTATCCTCCCTCCCTCCTTCCCTTTGTCTTTCTCTGACTTCACTGTATTTTATATCTGTGCCTCCTAAAGCTGTGGTACATGGCCAGTAAAGACAATTTCCTTCTCTTTCTAAATATGGGGAAAAGATAAGAACTGGATTTACAGACTTGTAGTGTGTTTGCCTGAGTTAAACTGTTAGAAAAAGTGTATTTTTTTTTCTGAAAATGTTCAGCTTTCACAGAAATAAATTTAATTTCCTTTTGATACAATGCTTTTTTAAAAAAAGTCACAGCATTCCAAAAGCATTGAGGAATCCTAGTGTGCTGTAAATAGTTTCTGTTATCCTTGGAGACAGCATAATGGACAGTGCCCAAGTGCCGTGGCTAAGGGCAGTAAATGAACAACTCGTCTCGAATTTTCTGGTGAGCAGTATTCATCTGCTCTTCGGCGAGTGCTCTGACACGGACAGTTAGCTGCCTGCTCAGCATCAGAGGGAATATTAGGCTGGTGCACAACCTGTTCTTGTTGTGTTGTGTTGTGTTCTGGCGTGGAGGTTTCTGCAGGACAGACTCCTGCGTGGGAAGGGGAGGAATGCAAAATGAAGGTTGCCTTCATTCCAGAATTGCACTGTAAACTTGTAATTCTTCTTTCTTCATCAAAACGCTGGATGACATTTTGCCTTTGTTTCAGTTGTGCATTGCCAATGCGCAACTGATACATGCACGTTTCCCACGTAGGGAAGGGTTCATCAGTACTGCTCTGCAAAGGCACTGCCTGACTTGAGTGTCACTTACTGGGGTTCTTCACAGATGAGTGAAATGCAACGTCAGCTTTGTAACACAGGTGAAACATCCACTGCCTTTTGAAAATGCATCTAATTAATGTCAATTCCAGCTGCAGGTAATCTCATTTCTTCATCTAAATGAACTGTTAATGGTAAAAGCTGGAAGACTTGGAAGGGAAAGATTCTTCAAAGGTTCGCTGTATGGTGCAGTGTAAGAGGTTGGCTTTTTCTTTCTTTTGAACAGCAGGCAGTTCAAATTGCCAGTATCCATGTGCTCTCAAGCAACTGTAAGCCATTGCAAATGTCAGCCTCTGAAATGAGTACTACTTCTATGTTTATTATCTTGGTCTAAGCTCATATGATTGCTATTTAAGTTGATAATAAACCAACTACATATGGGATTAGCACTGTTGACTGGCCTATAATCACCTCTCTGACCAATATAACTTACATTTTCATCTTGACCTTTTGTAGGTGTGATGTTCAACGGCATAAATTTATGTACGCAGATCTTTGGAATTCAGTTACTTTTGCAGTCCCCTGTAACATCAAAGCAAAACTCCATTCAGTTTGCTAATAAACTACTTGTCCTGATTTCAATATTAAAAATGAAGGATCTTATTTAGGATTTTAGGATAATCTACTAGGTTAGGCAGTTTCATCACCTCTTTTCTACAGAACATGTTCCAAGAGCCCCAGTGAAATACCTGTGTAGTGAAATACCTGGATTATTGTGTTTTTACCACAAAAACATGTTAAAAACAAACAAAAAACAAATAAACCCATGACATGAAATTGCATTACTTTCTTCTACATTTCTTGATGTGTGAAAACAAAGGATGCAACGCAGTACAGGCATCATAGCAAAAAAAAAAAAAAAAAAAAAGATTATTGAAAAGTTTTTAAAAAGTGTCTGATGAAATGAAACATCAACAAAATGAAAAAGGGATTTCTAAGTAGTGTAGGCCGATTTTGGTCTTATAGACACGTTATCAGTTTAAACCCAACTGAATTATTTCATTTTTCTAATAATACAGCAAGATCAATCTTATGCGTTTCTTTACTGTAGTTGTAACCTGACTTTAATGTTAGTCTAATCTAGAATCTGAAGGTGAAATCAACTCAAAAGTAGAAATTAATCAAAACTCTCTGATACTTTTCAATTTTTTATTTTTATTCAACTACTGCATAAGAGAAGGTTAACAACTGAAATAAGGCAATGTCAAGTCAATTCTTACCCAGGTAAGTGAACTGTTATGTTCTCCCAAAATATGTTGCTGTAGCTTAGAATAAGCCATTCCAAACAGAAGGGGGCTTTGCATAGAGCAACAATGACATCACCTCATGTCCCAGAGTACATCTCTAGGAGAAGGACAAAGGCAAGGAAAAGAGAAGCCCAGCTCTCCTAATCATTGGATCTCCTTCTCCTCATCTGCTGTTATACCTTCCCTGTCCTTTCCATGTAGTGTTGAAAGTCCACGTAGTCCTGTGACCATCATTTGTATAAAACCAAAATTACCTTTGAATTTGTAATTTTTGTTACAAGGGCAGGTTCTTTGCATGTCAGATATTTGGAACTCTTCCCAATTTATAGGCTGCCCAGGTAGTAGCTCTATACATGTAACGTGTGTGGATATATATATATATATATAATACATTTTTCAGAAACTAAGTAGCAAAGGAGGTAAACATGGCCTTTGCATACAACTGGAAGGGTTCTTTGGGCTTTTCTTCTCCCCTGCCTTCCACAGGTCTCCTTCTCTTACTCTCCAAAACAAAATTCTCTTCAGTCCTTGGTTGGCATCTGTAGCTCCTGGCGCAGCTGGGGCTGAGACGTGAGCTCTCAATGGTTCCAGTATGAATTCTCATCCTGCAGCTGACTTCTTTCTCAGCGTGGAAGAGCCTGATTATGCTTTGAATACCACCCTAACAATCTGCATGTGGAATATTATTCAAAATTAAAATGCATTTTGAAAATAGAATTAATTATGTGCTAAGAGCAAATACAGATAAAAATAAGTAAAATTATTAAGTTGTTTGTGTGATTTGGCAAACCTCTGCTACTCTGAGAGGAAATTGCCTTAGCCACCATGCAAATCCTGCTTTTCTATACACAGTTGTACAGAATACTGAAGTGGCCCTACAGAGAGCTGGGAATACCTTAGCCAAGAAAATAGTTCACAGTTTGCTCCAAATGCTCACCTGCTGTTGCCAACTACTTTGTGTCTAGCATTTCACTTTAAGATTACCTTTAAACCCCCAGGGGTGCTGTTAACGCTCAGTCGTACCTATGCATGCCTCACTGTGATCTCGTGTGAAAAACTAGCTTGGCTGATGATAAATATCCTAAATTTGAGAGAGTTTCTGTGGATCTTAGTTACTGTTATATCAACATAGTCACCAGTGCCAAACATTCAGAACTTACCTGGTTCCTGAAATTGGCTTTGAAATTTGGTTTTCTAAGACAGTGGTTTTAGTCTTTAATGTTCAGACTTTCCTACGGCCATATAGGCAATAAATATCTTCTTTAAAAACAAGCAAACCAAATTTGTCTCAACTCCCGGAGCTGGGACTCAGACATATCCTCCTCCCTACCTGAACTTATGTATCCTGAGGTTTGTGACAAGTCATGGCTTTACAATATCATATTAAATAGACCTCACGGGCAAAGGTAGTCCAAGCGTTTTAAATGCTGTCTTTAAGAACAGATGAGCTTGATGGAGAAAGACAAAAGATCTTCTACAACAAAACTTTTAGGTAACAGCTACTTGTATTTTTAATAAATTCTGTTGTTCCTGCAAGTAATATCAGCCTGCAAATCAGATGCTCCAGAGGTAGAGTATTATCTTCCGGGAAATGCAAGACAACAAATCAGGGCCTACTAATACCACATCATATGGCTGAGAGTGATCTACTTCACTGAGTTGATGATTGTGATTTGTTCACATTTTTCTAAAGAATGGGAAAAAAAATCATAAATGAATTTATGTGACTATATTGTTTCAATGTAAGTGTATCAATATTATCTAACTAGAATTTAGCTTCAATCATTAAAATACTTCTGTCTTCAGATCAGAAAGTAAGTCATTGTTATAGACTCTCAAGGTGAGGACGCTCAGCAGCTAGCTCCATACAGGCCAAGAGCATGCCATTTCCTCACTATATGGAAGCTGATATGATGCAAAAGAAGTGTTTTGCATTTGGCAGAGTTTGTGGCTGTCTTGGAAATAGTGTCTGGAAACAAACACTAATGACTATTCTTCCCCAGTTTTTCTAGTTATGAGGCTATAACCATCTTCATCGTGTGTTCCTGTTCCTGCTGCCCAAAGCTTTCTGGTGGGAAGAGCAAGGTAAGGGCAGGGGGGTTCCAAATCCCCAGTTATGTTTGCATGGTTGTGGTGAAGAGGCTTCTTCAACTTCAACAATGAGCCATGTTCAGCTGTGGATGCTACATCTTTTTGTTTTATGAAGGTATATTTTTTTTTCAGCATTTTTGCAAAGTAAAATTCTTATTCTGGTCCCAACGTATGTTTTGGTTAATGCCACAGCCCTTTGTTTGACCTTTACAAATGCAGTCTTATATCTGTTCAAAATATGCTCCCTAAAACATTGTTTTCCTACACTGTGACCTTGACTATACTACCTTCTTCCTTCACAAGGAAATTAATG